TTTAAAAAACGCAATGAGCTAGAACTTAGATGTTTAGCATGAAACATCTTCTTATGGGTGTCTACCAAGTCTGTTCAAATAAACAAATATAAACCCTTGGGTAAAAATTGGCCCGGGGGTGGGGGGTGGGGCTATATACAGGTGAGCGACCTCAGGGCCATCATGGCCCTCTTGTTTCTTGTCCGCCCAATAACTTAAGATTCCTTTCACCCACAGTCTTCATATTTGGCATGGAGGTTAGTCATGACGAGTAGATGACCCCTATTGATTTTGAGGTCGCCAGGTCAATGTCACAGGGGCCTTGACTTCAAAAAGCTTGTCCACCCAATAACTTAAGATTCCTTTGACCCACAGTCTTCATATTTGGCATGGAGGTTAGTCATTACGAGTAGATGACCCCTATTGATCTTGAGGTCAAAGGTCAAGGTCACAGGGGCCTTGACTTCAAAAAGCTTGTCCGCCCAATAACTTAAGATTCCTTGGACCAACAGTCTTCATATTTTGCATGGAGGTTAGTCATGATTAGTAGATGACCCTTATTGATTAAAATTAAGAAACCTTTGATCCACAGTCTTCATATCTAGCATGGAAGTTAGTCATGATTACTAGATAACCCCTATTGATTTTAAGTTGACTGGGTCATAGGTCAAGGTCACAGGGGCCTTGACTATAAAAAGCTTGTCTGCCCAATAACTTAAGATTCTTTTGACCCACAGTCTTCAAATTTGGATGGAGGTTAGTCATGATTAGTAGATGACCCCATTTGATTTTGAGGTCACTGGGTCAAAGGTCAAGGTCACAGGGGCCTTGATTTCAAATAGTTTGACGGCCCAATAACTTATAAAACCTTCGACACACAGTCTTCATATTTGACATGGAGGTTAGTCATGAAAAGTAGATGACCCCTATTTATTTTTATTACACTGGGTCAAAGGTCAGGGGCCTTGAATAAAAAAGCTTGTCCTCTCAATAACTTAAGATTCCTTTGACCCACAATTTTCATATTTGGCATGGAGGTTAGTCATGATTAGTAGGTGACCCCTATTTATTTTAAGGTCACTGGGTCAAGGATCAAGGTCACATGGACTTTGACTTCAAAAAGATTGTCCACCCATTAACTTAATATTCCTTTGACCCACAGTCTTCATATTTGGCATGGAGGTTGATCATGACTATAAGGTGACCCCTATTGATTTTGAGGGTCACTGGGTCAAAGGTTGACTAAAAAAAGCTTTTCCCCTCAATCGCTTAAGAATGCCTGTCCGCAGTTTATTGATTTTGACATTTTCACATTTGAAGCATGTAGAATACATAGCACCAGCTTAGTAACCTCAGATTTGGCAGGGACGTTGTCCTTGAGCTCTAAATGGCCAATGTTGATTCTGACAAAGTGGTATGCGGGGGTATTCATGCCATGGCAGTGGCAGTTCTGTCAGTCCGTCCCTCCATCTGTCTGTACAAACCCAGATGTACTTGTGTGATTTAGAGAACAATGGGTAACAGTAAATTCTCTTTGATCCTATTCATTCCGTTTTTACTTGTGTGTCTTTTTTGTGTGATTTAGAGAACAATGGGTAACAGTAAATTCTCTTTGATCCTATTCATTCCGTTTTTACTTGTGTGTTTTTTTTTAGCTCACCTGTCACTTTGTGACAGGGTGAGCTTTTGTGATCACTTTTCGTCCGGCGTCCGTCCGTCTGTTCGTCCGGCGTCCGTAAACTTTAACTTTAAATGACATCTCCTCATAAACCACTGAGCCAATTTCATCCAAACTTCACAGGAATGTTCCTTTGGTGGTCACCTTTGAAAATTGTTCAAAGAATTTAATTCCATGCAGAACTCTGGTTGCCATGGCAACCAAAAGAAAAAACTTTAAATATCTTCTTTTAAAAAACCAAGAGCTAGAGCTTGAATATTTGGCATGAAACATCTTCTAGTGAGTGTCTACCAAGTTTGTTCAAATAAAAGCCCTGGGGTCAAAATTGGCCCCGCCCCGGGGGACATTGATTTTCCTTATATGTGTATAGCAAAAACTTAAAAATCTTCTTCAAAAAAACCCGAATAGCTAGAGTTTAGATTTTAAGCATGAAACATCTTCTAGTAAGTGTCTACAAAGATTGTTCAAATAAAAGCCCTGGGGTCAAAACTGGCCCTGCCCCAGGGGTGTCATTGTTTTTAAATATATGTGCAAAGAAAAAATTTTAAAAATCTTCTTTTAACAAACCCAAAGAGCTAGACCTTAGATGTTTAGCATGAAACATCTTCTTATGGGTGTCTACCAAGTTTGTTCAAACAAAAGCCCTGGGGTTTAAACTGGCCCCGCTCCAGGGGGCCTATATACAGGTGAGCGACTTAAGGGCCATCATGGCCCTCTTGTTAAGTTTTGTGTGACTGAAAATGGCCAAAAAGATCAAAGGAAAAGTCACATAAGTACCATTTTGTGAGTATGTTTGTCCGTCTGTCCGTACGAGGTTAACCTAGAACGGCAAGTTGGATTTTTCTTAAGTTCTACCTGTACCAATGGCTTCTTAGTTTACACATTTACTAATCAATACAAAGTACATGATCTGGGCAAGTTTCATAACTTTGCCTTTCATATTTACCAAGTTATTGCCCTTTTTAGCACTTGGAAAATGAATAATGGTTAACCTAAAACGGCAAGTTGGAAATATCTGAAGTTCTATCTATACTTTTATGGCTTTATAATTTCCACACTTACTTATCAATACAAAGTACATGATATTGCCAAGTTATATAACTGTGTCATCCATGTTTCCCAGTTATTTCCCTTTTTTCACTTTGAAAATAAGGCCATGTCTGGTTAACCTATTTCGGCAAGTTGGATTTATCTTAAATTTCTCCTAATTGCTTAATTTCTTTAATGATATCTTTCATATTTAGTAGGTGGATACCTTTGATGGTCCTCTAATTTTTTGTGGAGTAAGCGGTCTCTAGGGTCAAGGTCACTGGTTTAAAAAATAAATATAAACATTTTTGCTCATACAGACTTTATTATCCCCTGCCGATGGAATCGGGAGGGGGATATAGTTTTGGCGTTGTCCATCCGTCCGTCCGAATTTCGTTTCCGAAGTAGTTCTCTGCAACTACTGGCTGGAATTCAATGAAACTTTATGGGAATCATCAATATCAAGAGGAGATGCACATATCGTCGGCTTGTTCCGGTCAGACACTTTAACTCAGAGTTATGGCCCTTGATTAGTTATGCAGTATGTATATGGAGTTAAAATCGTTTCCGCACTACTTCTCTGCAACTACCGGCTGGAATTCAACAAAACTTTATGGGAACCTTCAATACCAAGAGGAGATGCGCACGTCGGCTTGTTCGGGTCAGACACTTTAACTCAGAGTTATGGCCCTTGATTAGTTATGCAGTATCCATATAGAAAAATATTTGTTTCCTCGCTACTTCTCTGCTACTACTGGCTGGAATTCAATGAAACTTCATAGGATACTAAGAGGAGATGTGTATATAGTCGCCTTGTTCCAGTCAGATACTTATAACTCAGATTTATGGCCCTTGATTAGTTATGTAGTATGCATACATCTCATTGGCATTTCCAGATTTTACTATTTTACACAAAGTTATGGCTCTGTTATTGCCCTGAATATTTATCAAGTTCAAAGAATGTTACTGTTTATGCCATGATTAATATATAAATAAAGCCTTATGTCTTCAGTTGTTGTGTTAATAATAACCAGTACTCGGCGGGGGATATAAATTCAACGAATTTGCTTGTTTTTTAGTTGGTGTCTTAGTTTAATACAAACATGCCAAGGGCGGTCCTCCTTCTTTGGGTGTAGTAAGGGGTCAATTGGGTCAAGGTCAATGTTACCAATGTCAAGGTCACCAATGTTAAAAATAGATTTTTACATTTTTACAGGTGTATTAACCTTATTCTATAGACAGATATTATTTATAATTGATAGAAACATAAAATTTGATGGAGTTAGTGGTCAGATGGGTCAAGGTCACCAGTGCTAAAAATAGATTTTTACACATTTGCTCATACAGCCTTTATTAAGTGACAGATATATCTTATATTTGGTAGGAAGATAACTTGCATGGTATTCATCCTTTTGATTGGGGTAGGGATCAGTGGGTCAAGGTCACTTGTGCTAAAAATAGATTTTTACACTTTTGCCCATACAGCTTTTATTTATTGACAGATGTATTTCATATTTGGTAGGAAGATAACTTGCATGGTATTCTTCCTTTGGGTGGAGTAAGGGGTCAGTTGGGTCAAGGTCACCAGTGCTAAAAATAGATTTTTACACTTTTGCCCATACAGCCTTTATTTATTGACAGATTTATTTCATATTTGGTAGGAAGATAACTTACATGGTATTCTTCCTTTGGATAGAGTTAGGGGTCAGTTTGGTCAAGGTCACCAGTGCTCGAAATAGATTTTTACACTTTTGCCCATACAGCCTTTATTTAATGACAGATGTAACTTGCATGAAGTTGAATATTTTTCAACTTCACAAGTCAGTGGAATGACTTGGCAACTTGTATTTTTCACAATTACAAAATTCTATGACTTTGTCAAGCTATATAACTTGTGTTTACAATTTTTTGGCAATTTTTCTGTCCATAACTGAGTGAATTGGTAATCATTTTTTGAAATATTGCTACTGACAAGAATCTGAGCCGGGGGCATTTGTGTTTAACAAACACATTCTTGTTTCTTTACTGCATCCAGTATTTAATTAGATGAGCATGACTGTCTCATCAGCACATAGTGGTGTAATACCTTATCACAATAATATTTAATATCACTTATAATTGAACAGAATTACAAATAATCCTGTGCATTTGTAAGTGTACTAATTTAATGTCTTTTTACCTGAGGTATGTTTCTATAAATACAAGGAAGGCATGGCAGTTCCTTCGTATCAGGGGTTTCCAGAAAAAAAAACAAAGCAAGAAAATTTCAAAAAAGGATAGAATACCAACAGGATAATATGATTTTACATTACAGGGTATCAATATGTAACCAGGTATTGAAGGGAATTCTTGATAAGATAGAAAGAGAGGAAAGAAAGGAGCAGAAACTCCAGAAGAAGGCAGAATCTGCTGAGGAGAAGCAAAAACGTCTTGCAGCTACCAAGATACAACAAACACTGTACAAACACAAAGAAGCCTTAAAGAAAGAAATTCAGAGAAAAAGAACTCTAAATGAAAGGAATATGCAGCTAGATATACAGGTAAAAAAGATGGCAGGTCATTTTGTATATTATTATTATGTTAACATGATAGTCGATAGTTGTGACTGTTGGTTGTGAGAGTGGTAAATCATGGTTTTAGTGACTGATTGTTTCAAAGATGTGATATAATTATTGACCATGCCATACATGTAACTTTGTAGTTCATAAGAGAAATTTTCAAGTACTGAACACATTGAACAGTCTGATATTTATGCCCCCACAAAGTGGGAGCATATAGCGTTGCACTTGTCCGTCCATACGTACGTCTGTCTGTCCGTACATCCCAAAATCTTGTGAACGCAACTCCTCTTAAACCAGATGGCAGATTTTGCATAAACTTCCAGGGATGAACAACCTTAATGTGTAGATGGTAGTAAAGGAAGGAATTTTCGCTGCAACCAAATTTAACAGAATTATGGCCCTTTGTTGATTTTTTCACTATATTTTATGTAGAAATTTTGTGAACGCAACTCCTCTTAAACCGGATGGCAGATTTTGCTTAAACTTTCAAGGATGAACAACCTTAATGTGTAGATGGCAGTAAAGGAAGGAATTTTTGCTGCGACCAAATTTAACAGAATTATGGCCCTTTGTTGATTTTAAGTTTTCAACTTGTGGCACATGTAGTCCAAAAAATATTTGACCTAGAGTCATAAGATTGACAGAACAGTGGCGTGTGGGGGCATCTGTGTCCTATGGACACATTTCTAGTTTTATCATAAACAAAAATGCAAAATACTTTTTAGCTCACTAGAACCAAAGATTCCAGTTTGATTTTTGTCCCGATATAGAAATAGGCTTCGTCCGTCTGTCCGTCCATCACACTTTCGTGTCCGGTCCATAACTTTGTCATTTTTCAAAGGAATTTGAAATAACTTGACACAAATGTTTCTTATAATAAGACAATGTGTCATGCGCAACAACCAGACCCCTACCTCCAGAGTCAAGGTCGCACTTTCTCATTCAAGGTCAACATAGTCTGTTATAGGGTATATTTTGTGTCCGGTCCATAACTTTTTCATAGATCAAGGGATTTTGGAAAAAGATGGCACATATAGTCATTATAATAAGACAATATGTCATGCACAACACCTGCATCCCTACCTTCAAGACCAAGGTCACACTTAGAGGTCAAAAATTAACATAGTATGTTATAACGATCTTGAACTTCTTCATAGTTCAAGACATTTTGAATAACTTGGCACAAATAGTCACAATAATATGACGATATGTCAAGTACAACACCTGCACCCCTACCTCCAAGGTCAAGGTCACACTTATATTAGAGGTCAAAAGTTAACAGAGTCAGTTATATGGTATATTTTGTCTCCAGTCCCTAACTTCTTCATAGATCAAGGGATTTTGAAAATATTTTGCACAAATAGTCACAATGATAAGATGATATGTCATGCTTAACACCTGTGTCCCTACCTCCAAGGTCAAGGGCACACTTAGAGGTCAAAGATTTACATAGTCTTTTATAGGGTATATTTTGTGTCCGGTCCATAACTTTTTCATAGATTAAGGGATTTTAAAAATACTTGGCACAAATAGTTACAATAATAAGATGATATGTCATGCACAACACCTGCACCCCTACCTCCGAGGTCAAGGTCACATTTAGAGGTCAAAGCTTAACATGATAGCTTAACATGATAGGGGGCATCCGTGGCCGAGTGGTTAAGATCGTTGACTTCAAACCACTTGCCCCTCACCGCTGTAGGTTCGAATCTCAACAGGGACTTTGGATTCTTTCATGTGAGGAAGCTATCCAGCTAGCTTACGGAACGTCGTTTGTTCTACTCAGGTGCCTGAAATAATGCACGGAAGGGCACCTGAGGTTTCCTCCACCAGTAAAGCTGGAAATTACCTATACTGCGTTGGTGTGACATAAAACCCAAACAAATTAACATGAAAGATTTTTAAATTCTGTGTTTAAATTTTATTTCTTTAATAAATTTATTGTTGCATTTACAGATCTAGCATTGATCATAATATTGGACTGAATGTCCTGAGATCCATACCTCAATCTTTTGAAATAGCACAATTTTATGCTTCATACAAAACTTCCCTGAGACGGAGGACGTTGGTAACCCTGTTACAAATTCATGTTTTATCATAAACAGAAATGAGAAATGCTTTTTAGCTCACAATAACCGATTCAGGGTTCAGGGTTAGCTATTAGTACTGTAGGGGGATGCTCCAGCGTCCATCATCATGTGTCAACATTCATCTTCTCTGAAACTGCTGGACAAATATACTTCAAATTTAGTTTTTTGCATACTAGTGACAGTCACACTTTAATTTGCTCATATCATGTTAATTGGCCTCTTTTAGGGGTAAAAAGAGCTAAAAATAGAAAATCCTTAAAACATCTTTTTCTACTGAACTAATTGATGGATGATCACCATACTTTGTAGCATTTTTAGGTAGTCTTTTATCAAATTTGCTGATATTAATTTGAATGGCCACTTTTAGAGGCAGCTAAAGCTGAAAATAAAATAGAAAAACTTTTAAACATCTGAATTAATTGATCGATGGATGATCACACATACTCATGGTGAGCAATTATGAACCCCCTACCGTCCCTCTTTTGTCGTCAACAAGTTCTTTAAACATCATCTCCTCTGAAACCAGTGACTGCACAGTAACTAAACTTTAATGGAATGGTCCTGTGGTGTCCCCTGCCAAAGTTGTGCAAATGGTTCCGGTCTGTTACATAAGTACGTTACGGGGCCAGAAAAGGAGTTTAAAAAATGCAAACTTAAAAATCTTCTTGTCTGAAGGTACAAGGCGTAGAGTTTTAGATATTTGGTATGTAATATCATCTGTAGGTCCTCTATGAAAGTTGTTCAAATTTTGCACCTAGTGTCAAAAAAGGCCCTGCCCCGGGAGTCATAGGTTTTCCTTATTATTATATGTATATATAGTAATAAAAATTCTTCTCTGAATTGACAAAGGCTAGAGGTTAGATATTTGACATGAAGTAGTAGTAGAACTTTTGTAGTGGAATTCTACTGAGATTGTTCCAATTATAGCCCTGGGGTCAAAATTGGCCCTGTCCCAGGGTAGGGGTCATAGGCTTTCCTTATATGTGTATTGTTTGGGTCAGACACTTTAACTCAGAGTTATGGCCCTTGATTAGTTATGCAATATGCATATGGAGTAAAAATCGTTTCCGGAGTAGTTCTCTGCAACTACTGGCTGGAATTCAACGAAACTTTATGGGAATCATCAATATCAAGAGGGGATGCGCATATCGTCGGCTTTTTCCGGTCAGACCCTTTAACTCAGAGTTATGGCCCTTGATTAGTTATGTAGTATGCATATAGAGTAAAAATTGTTTCCGCACTACTTCTCTGTAACTACCGGCTGGAATTCAACGAAACTTTATTGGAACCTTCAATACCAAGAGGAGATGCGCATATTGTCGGCTTGTTCGGGTCAGACACTTTAACTCAGAGTTATGGCCCTTGATTAGTTATGACACTGGGGTCAAAATTGGCCCTGTCCCAGGGTAGGAGTCATAGGCTTTCCTTATATGTGTATTGTAAAACTTTTTAAAAAAAACTTCTTGCCTGAAGGAGCTTAGATAATTGGTATATAATATCATCTATAGGTCTTCTACCACAGTTGTCAAAATTGTCTCTTTTCCAAATAACAGTATGTCTTCAGATGAGCGCTTTGGAGCCAATGGCCACCTTGTTCACAAATGCAATCTTGTTATTGTTTGTTCTTACATAGGCTGAGATTCAAGAGGCAGTGAAGTCACATGCTACCAGTAGAAAGAAAGCAGTACCAGTGAGGCAGACTGTGGTACCAGCTGCTATGATTTTACAGAAACGACAGGAGGAAAATATAAGACAACAGAATACACTGCCACCTATGCCTCCTTCAAGTGCCCAGGTTTGTAAACTACTTAAATATTATATATTTCAGTTTGAATCATCACAAATCACCTTTTTTTGCCCCCGCCATAAATGGCTGGGGCACATAGTGTTACCCTGTTCCGTCATTACGTCCCTCCATCATTCTGTCATTCAGTCATCATCAGTTTCCGTCCATTATCTTAGTAACGGTTACACACATTCAATTCAAATTTGACATATGGATTTATCATGAGAAAATACAGGTCAAGTTTGACTTTGGTCATGGTCCCATGATTTTTGACAGTTATGCCCCTTGATGAAATTTTCAGTTTCTGTTCATTATCTCCGCAACGGTATTACACATTCAAATCAAATTATTTGACATATGGATATGTCAAAGGAATGCGCAGGTCAAGTTTGAATTTGGTCATGGTTCGATGATTTTTGGCAGAGTAATGCCCCTTTCACTTTGAAAATAATATTAAATTTTCCGTTTCCATTCATTATCTCCTAAAAAGTATTACACATTCAACTAAAATTTGACATATGGATACGTCAAAAAAAAATGCACAGGTCAAGTTCGAACATGGTCATGGTTTGATGAATTTTGGCAGAGTTATACGCCTTTCACTTTGAAAGTAATATGAAATTTTCAGTTTCCATTAATTATCTCCCTGTTCCACAAACGTTACACATTGATGTTTAGATGATGTTTAGTGTTACACATTAAACTCAAATTTAAGATATGGATATGTCATAAGAATACACTGGTCAAGTTCGAATTAGGTCATGGTTTGATGATAGCTGACAGAGTTATCACTCTTGAACCAGTGTTCGTGTTGACTGAGTAAACATATCAATTTACTCGCTAAAATTGCCAGGGAGGAAAAATTTTCCCCCGATAATTGGTTAATTCTGTCTTAAGTTTTTTGCTCTGATTGAAAAGGATTTTCTTGACTTTCACCTCATTTTGATTTGTTCTCTTCTCATAAGCAATGCAGATTTATATCCCAAACGTAGACTAGGAGCAAGTGCTTGGCCTAGTTTTGGGCCAACCTATCAATGGTATCCGCGAACATCAACAGTCACTGTTGTCAATATGTTTTGACATAAGAGACTGTTCCGTTGTTAAGTAGGAAAATGTGACCCTTTGAAAAGGTAAAATACACATGGAAATATGTACAAAAAATATAAAAGTTTTTAAATAAACCCTTATCCATTGCTTATATTAATGCTAGATATGAAGTAAATTAAAGTAATCAGTAGTCTCTTTTCCACATTCTTTCGAGACTAAAGACCGTTAAAGACTGTAGACAGTCGATTTGCAGGCTCTTCAACATCTTGACTGTTAATGTTTTTTTTGTTAATTGACCTTCAGCCCTAACTTCTTAAATATTATTCATGAGCACAAAGCCGTCAAATTATAGATAAAGTACACAAATTTGATTGTATTATGAAGTTATGCAAACATTAACATTTTTGTAATTGAGAACTTGTCTCTTGAATTGGGTCGAACAGATCTATTAGCACTGAGTCCCAGGTACTCGGTAAAGTTAGGGAAAATCGCTAACACTGTTGAACTTTGATAAAAAAAATAGAAATTTTTAGTTCCCTTGTATACATTCAACTCAAATTTGACATATAGATACATAAGCAGTTCAAGATTGAATTTGGTTGTATCAATGATTTTAGACAAAGTTATCTCTCTTGAATGTTGAAAAAATTTTGAATTTTCAGTTTCAGCACTCATACTTTGTGGAAATGTATGTAGTCATTATTTAGCTACAAATATGCAGTATGCAATTTACAAAAGGTTTATACTGAATAGTTTCAGTGCCTTGAACTTTGTATAAAAATGGTTTGTGTTTACATTGAATAGTTTTAAGGGCTTTGAACTTAAAATGAAAAAAATAGTTTTGGTAAACAAATTTGGAACTAAATATTATAACATCTGAAATTTTTGCTGCATGCATGACATGCATGTCTGTGGCGTGACAAATAATACCAGTTACAAAAAGTATCATCAATGAACAGTAAAGATTGTACCTTGTACTTTAATGATAGCATAGGTCTCAGTATTGCTGCTAGGCTTCTAATAAGCTAATGTCTCTTGCTTGCAGGTCGCTGAAGCAGCCAGAGCTAAGAAAAAGAAACAGAAAATTATTTCTACAGGTGTGAAAGAAAAAAGTCTAAATCCCAAACGTAAACTGTATTGTATCTGTAAAACTCCTTATGATGAATCAAGGTATGTAGAAATAATGATATTTTATCATAAATAGTTTTACAGGAAGCGCTTTTTACTTGTTTGATACATTGTGGTACTTTTAATTGCAGAAATGGAAAATTTAGAGGGGAAAAAAATGTATTTAATGCATTGTGATAATTTGTTCATTCTGTTAAAATGTTTTGTTTAAACATAAAAAAGTTGTTGTTTTTAAACCCCTTGCATTACATGAACTTAAAAACTGTATTCTTAAGAAAATAACATTTCCTTACAGATTTTATATTGGTTGTGATCTGTGTTCCAACTGGTTCCATGGGGAATGTGTGAATATTAGTGAAAGCGAGTCAAAATATATAGACGCCTTTGTTTGTGATGACTGTAAAAAACAACAAGAGACAGCCATAGAGGAACTGTATTGTCTCTGTAAAACACCGTATGATGAATCTAGGTTTGTTGATCAATTAACTCTTATTAAACTGATCGTGCAGCTTCTGTTTTTGGAACTGTCAATTATGGATTTTGAGGATATGAAGATGAAACTTTAGGCTAGTCTGCTAACAGTATAGAGCCTGATTAGACTGCTCAGATGTACTGCAGACCTGGCTCTATACTGGAAGCAAAGGTAAAATCAATTTTAGTGTGGGTTAAAGGCCTCTGTGACTAAATTGTTAAGTTGCTTATGGAACCAGAAGAGTTATCATTGAGAAGCTCTCTCACATAACCCATTAGTGATTGAATAACCAACTGAAGTAAAATAAGACTGTTGCCATATTACCATTGGTGTGACTGCTGTATATATAGCACGAGTTGAACAGCATTTGATATTTGACTGTATATTTTATTTGCATGGGTGCAAGTTTTCCGGCATGTGCCGGAAGTTCCGGTTTTTCACGTGCCGGAGGGATCATTTTTGCAAATCACGTAAATCCGTTGAGATATTTGGAGGGGTATGGTGCGGGTCTACTCTTTCAAACTGAGAAGTACCACCGATTAGAAGTTCATAATCGAGAACGCTATATAACATACGGATGCTCAACGGTTTGTTCTCGAAGCGTCAATAGTAAACTTTCGCGGAAACTGCCGATAGTTTCTGAAGATATACGAGATGTTTACGAAAACATGTATTATTAATCCCGGCATGCAATTTTATCCGTGAATTTATTACAACGATTTAGATTGGCGCGCTAATTATAATCATCCAATGAAAAAGCGGCTTCGTTACCGATTCGGCTACAGAGTAATATGTAAACAGAAAGTAATTGTACAATTTGTTATCTACATGAAGGATTTAATACAAAAGATATCGAGAAGACCACAAAAAATAAATGGAGATGGGAATGGTTGTTTGTATGTGATTGAAACGGGGATAACTACGGAAACTGGCTGGAAAAGCCAGACGTTCCGGGCGTAGCTTTCTGCACTGTATGTAGAAAATCCGAATCCGGGTCAGCTCGGCCCTAAAACATACTTGGCCCCCGAGTCAGCTCGGCCCTATTCCAACTCGGCACGGGTCAACTCGGCCCACTTTTCAATTATTAATATTTAGGTTTGTGTTAACACTATTTATTGTAATTATTGTAATTATTTATAATACACGGATTGACAGTTCCGAACTAGCAGCAGACAAGCTTTTCTTATCAGTAAAATTGCGAGTGAAGATAAACGATTGCGTATCTCACTGTATTTCTACATATTTAACTTCTGTTCTGTTCTTTATTACTTTATCTAGATTATGCACAGACAAGGTCTTTCTATTTGATAGAAGAAAAAACGTATGACACGTGCAAATGAATTTCGGCAGCAATCAATGCGCTTATACATAAGATTTAATTAGAACCTTATGATATTAAGTAAACACGTTTTTGTTTCATATTTTTTTAAATATTACTTTACAAAAACATTTTATTAGAATCTAGATCTATATTAATTTTATCGAATCAGCAAGACAGATAAATAACATTTTCTTTTATAAATATACTTTATTTCAGAAGAAGTACAATGTATAATTTTATAATAATAAGATATTTCTTATTATTCATTTACCTTAACAACATGCAAAGCAAAGTTAATGCGTTACAGTATATATATTTTTGTAAAGTGGGCCGAGTTGACCCGTGCCGAGATTGTATAGGGCCGAGTTGACTCTTTTCCGAAAATCCATCAAGTATGGATCCAGGGGGAAAAAAAGAATTAAATGCACGCAGACAATCCAAACCATATGAATAACAAACTTACTGTGAAACATAACCAGGCTTGTTTTAATTATCTTTTTTGAAAACAATTTATTGTTTGTATGGAATCAGGGTCAGCTCAGCCCTAATTAAAACGTAAACTCGGTACAAATCAACTCAATTTTCAATTTATTTATATATTGGTTTGTTTTATCACTCTTTACTGTTGGAACCGCAATATTAAATAGTGGAACCAATACATGAATGCACATTTCTTTTTGTGTTGAAATGTTTTTGTTTATATAATTAAGAAAAAGAGAGAGAAAAGAAAAAAATAATTATGTTAGCAATATTTAAGTGAAAATACTATACTACAGTATGTATGTTATCTGGCATGTAATCATTCAAGGGAATTGCATTTTAGGCAATGTGCTAAATGTGCTATAATGCAGGAGCTTCCGGGGGCCTCCGGCCCCCTGGACTCATGGCTGGGCGTTGCCCTGGACCCACCGGGGGCCCTGTCCGCCCCCTGGCCCCCAAACAAATAGTTCGGGTCTTTCAAAATTTTTAACTTGCACCCATGTATTTGTATTCACAAGCACATGGCTGTAGTTGTAATTACTCTAATTTACCAAAGTGAATGCAGTAATACACATCTTGACTACATTAATTGATGAATAGCCCAAGCTATCTGTAAGTTGTAATTATCCTGGTATAATTACATTGTATAATTTCTGTAAAAGCAATTTAAACTGCAGTCATGTTCTATGTTAAGACCCTGAAACACAACTATTTAGCTCACCTGAGGACAATGTCCCCAAGGTCAGCTTTTGTGATGGCCAATTGTCCGCAGTCCGTGCGTCAACAATTTCTTTAAACAACTATTCGTAAACCACATGGCCAACTTTGTTTAAACTTTGCAGGGATGTTTTCTGCATGAAGCTCTACCAAAGTTGTTCAAAGAATTAAATTCCATGAAGAACTCTGGTTGCCATGTGGTGGCATATAGAGATTAACCTCTGTGTGTGTGTGTGCGTGTGTATGTGAACTTAAAAAATCTTCTTGTGAAACACCACTAGTCTCAACCAAACTTGACAGGATTGTTCGTTGGGTGAAGGGCTTCCAAAGTTGTTAAAAGAATTTGATTCCATGCAGAAATCTGGTTGTTATGGCAACCAAAAGGAATTATAAGAATAAATTTAAAAAATCTTCTTGTAAAGACCCAAAAGGCCTAGAGCTTAGATATTTTGCATAAAGCATTGTCTGGTAGACCTCTACCAAGATTGTTCAAATTATAGCCCTTGGGCCAAAATTGCCCCCTCCCCGGGGGTCATTGATTTTCAATATATACATATAGTAAAAAAATTAAAAAAATCTTGTCTGAAGGTACAAGTCTTATTGCCCTTTGTTATTTTTCATTTTGTTATTGTCCGGAGCATATCTCAAAAAGTGCTAGAGGTATCAACTTGAAACTTCATAGGTGGATAGATCTCGCAGCACACAAGAATGATAGCCTACCCTGCATTATTAACCCTGGTTATTGCCCTTTGTTATTTTCAGCCATCAAACACGTTCGGCGGGGGATGGCCATGATAACATTGCTCTTGTTATACAGTTAATACCTAATTTTTTTTATGCCACCGCAGCATCTGCGATGCGGTGGCATATAGCGATTCACCTGTGTGTGTTTGTGTGTGTGTGTTATATAGATTATATAGTGAACTTAAAAAAATCTTCTTGTGAAAAAACCACTAGTCCAATTTCAACCAAACTTTGCAGGATTGTTCCTTGGGGTGAAGGGCTTCCAAAGTTGTTCAAAAGAATTTCATTCCATGCAGAAAATCTGGTTGCCATGGCAACCAAAAGGAATTATAAAGAATAAATTTAAAAAATCTTCTGTAAAGACCCAAAAGGCCTAGAGCTTAGATATTTTGCATAAGATATTGTCCTGGTAGACCTCTAAACAAGATTGTTCAAATTATAGCCCTGGGGTCAAAATTGGCCCCGCCCCGGGGTTTATTGATTTTCACTAAGTACATATAGTAAAAACTTAAAATATCTTATTGTAAAACCCAAAAGGCCTAGAGCTTAGATATTTTTGCATAAGGCATCATCTGGTAGACCCTTACCAAAGATTGTTCAAATTAAAGCCCTTGGGTCAAAATCGGTCCCGCCCCGGGGGTCATTGATTTTCATCTATATGTACATATAGTAAAAACTTAAAAACACCTTTTTTGTATAGACCCAAAAGGCCTAGAGCTTAGATATTTTGCATTAAGGCATTGTCTGGTAGACCTCTACCCAGATTGTTCAAATTATAGCCCTGGGTCAAAAATCGGCCCTGCCCCAGGGGTCATTGGTTTTCCTTATATGTATATAGTAAAAACTTAAAAAGAATTATTCTCAACAATTGACGAATGCTAGAGGTGGGAGCCATTGGTTTTATCTTACATGTATATAGTTTAATATTTCTGGTTGATATGGCAACCAAAAAGGGAAATTATAAGAATAAATTTAAAAAATCATCTTCTCTAAATTTACGAAGGATAGAGGTTAAGATATTTTTGCATGAAACATTGTGTAGTGAACCTCTAGCAAGAATTGTTCAAATTATAGCCCTGGGGGGGGGGTCAAAATTGGGGGTTCCGCCCCGGGGGTCATTGATTTTCATTATGTACATAATACAGTGGAAAAAAAAAAATTTGTCTGAAGGTTCAAGGCATAGAGCTTTGATGTTTGATATATAATATCATCTATAGGTCCTCTACCAAGTTGTTCAAAATGTCAAAAATTTGGCCCTGCCCGGGGGCATGATTCTCATTATGTACACGTAGTAAAAACAGTAATAAAACAAATGTTTTCTGAAATGGGAGAAAAGCTGTAGCTTAGATATTTTGACTTTAAATGTTGTTTTGTGGACCTGTATCAAGATTGTTATTAAACCCTTGGGTCAAAAATTATGCCTTGCCCAAAGGGACAGTGACCTACTTTCTTGTCCTTTGATGTACAGCAATGACATTTTGACCATGTGCAGTTTTAGTTGTAAAATTGAACTTTGACCTAGATTTTGATGATGTGACCTACTTTCTTGTCCTTTGATGTACAGCTATGAAATTTGAACCCATGCGGGGGCATAGCATTTTTCTCAAATGCAATCTTTGTTGTCAATAAAAAATTCTTATGGCCTTTTGTTTCTTAACATTAGACACTTCCTGCACATGTATCTAATGACCTTTAACATGCTGAAATATGACCTTGACCGCCAAATTCACTAGCTACTT